ATTTTATCTCATGTAACACTGACTGTGGATGGTATGACAAACAATGACTTCTCGGTTACTGATGGCATTGCAAGCATGGGAATGACCACCTCTCAGTGACATGTTGTGTCACCCGAGCCACCAAAAAGAAAGATTTCTGCCTACACCCCTGATGTTAGGCTAACTGTTATTACATTGTTGTTCCAAATGTTTCTCTGGTCATAACTGAATGACTTTTGAGTTATACAAACATCAACACGACCACTTTCACTTCTGTTTGTGTCCAACAACAGCATGAGCTTCAGGTTGCTTTTTTTATTATCTTTTTCTACTGGAACAATTAAATTTCCCTGCTGGGGGATCAATGAATTCGTCTTCTTTTCTTGTAAATGGGCATAATTCGATTTCATGTTACAATTACAGAGTGTGTCGCACGGCTAAATTTGGTGTTAACCACACACGAGGGTTTTCGATTGAAAATGTTGAACACTTACCATTGTCAGCCCCAACCATTGTCCAAGGAGATCCAAAAAAGATAAATCACTCTTAACAAAAATCACACAAGATAATGGATCAAGATTATCACGCACAGACATCTGATAATCATTTATCTGAAAGTGTTGGCATTTTAAAGTGAACCCTTGTTTAACGCCGGTGATACGTTACGGAGCCACCTGCTAATATTTGTAACGCATATGTAACGCATTTTAAACCAAAACACACAATGATGTGGCGGGCCAGATCTGGCTCCCGGGCCTTGAGTTTGACACCTGTGATGTAGAAGGATGTATACAAAAGATTTTGTAACACATCCACAATATAGCGGGGGTGCGAAAGATGAACTCCAATATTGCAGGGGTTCACTGCACCTGGCTTTAACCCTTTCCGGGGCAGCGGTTACCACAGTGGACAGGCTATCATGTTATCGGGTAACAGGTTATAATTATTGGTGCATGAAAGGTAAAACTTGGAGATACCCTCTAAATGGGTAAATGTAATCTCACACTGACTTTGTCTAGCCGTTTTTTGTTATTCATAATAAAATGAGCTAACCAACTGGTCCTGTCCGCCTCCTCGGTGCAGGTAGCCGTCCCACAGTGCAGTATGTGTCGTCGCTGGCCGAGCTGCCTCAGGCGCTGCAGCCGTACTACACGCAGGGCCACGGCCCGGCCGCCCCGCCCCAAAAAAAGGAGCCCCCTCGGCGCCCCCAGCCGTACTACACGCAGGGCTACGTCCTGGCCGCCCTGCACCCCATCATCCTGTCAGTGGGGCGCACGCGCTCGCTGCCCTTTAGCCTGCTGTACCGCGCTGTCCTGGCCAGGCCCAGACTGAAGTAAGTTGATGATGTTGACTCTGAAGTAGTTCAAAACTCTGAAACGAATATCACGTGCACACCGCCTCAATTGGCAGCAAACTCTCGAGTAAATCCATCAATGATTGATGGAGACAGCTGCATATTTCACGCAAAGCTGCGCCAGAAGGTCACACCGGCGAGCCAGAAGAGCCTGACTCTTGTTTGTCCCGGTTTGCAAGATTGAAGAAGGGATTTCTATTGGCTGGAAAGCCACTTGACAACATCCACCAGCCAATAGAGAGAGTAGCTTTCAAGGGTCTGCATATATTAACAATGAGAATAGTCATCGAATCTTAACATTAAATCAGGAATGTTCTTTAACTTGGAAATGTTCCCTTAAAATCACACAAAAACATTCATTTTGTTCCTTGAAACATTTGGAGGTATTCCATTTATATCGAGAGGGTTCTAGAAATATTTTTAAAATCTGTATGACAGGACCTTTGACAAGTCGATGAATGCTCTGTGTGTGTGTGTGTGTGTGTGTGTGTGTGTGTGTGTGT